CGCTACACGAACTATGCGCTAAAATGCCTCCACAAATATATTAACACTAAAATTCACAATATGACTTATATACACTAACTAAACTATACAATTTAGATAAAATTTGTGACGACGTGATTATACCTTCGAAGCGTGTGTCCGCTTCTTGCTTCTCTCTTCGACTCAGCGGCACCGGCCACCTCGCGAAGTATTTGCACCATCGGAGAACGACAATGCCGCCCCCGACGACCGGAGGTTCAACTCCGGTCAGCCCCCAACCTGCTCCTCCTCCTCCTCCTCACCACCTCCTCCTCTGCAGCTGCTACTACTAGTCACCACCACCTACTACCCGTCCTCCTCTCCACCATGGCTCCTCCTCCCCACCATGGCTGCTCCTCCCCAAAACGCATCAAAAACTATCCCATAGCAAAAATAACACCGTAGGCCGGCGGGGATTGCTATGATCTACCGATTTTGTGGGCTGGATATGCAAATGGATGGCAAATGGAGGAGATCGGCGCGGGGGGCGAGGTACAGAGAAGAACTAAGAGAGAGAAAGGAAAACAGAAACGAAGAACAGAGGCAGCGAGACGGTGCTTATCCGCACCTTTTCGGCCGATACGTGGCCGAAAACAGCTTCGGTCGAAGCCTGGCCGAAAAGGCCTACTTCGGTCGCCGGTTGGCCGAAAACGGCCCGCTTCGGCCACCTGGTAGCCGAAGCTACTATTTTCGGCCGGGCCCCGCCGACACAGACTTTTCGGCCCAGCTACGCACGTCTTCGGCCCAAGCGCGGCCGAAAAGCCTACTTCGGCCATGGCCTGGCCGAAAACTGCCTTTTCGGCCAACTCCAGGCCGACAGGGTCACAGTTTTGCGTTTCTTTCAAACTGCGCTATAGTTTCCGAAAATGCTACAAAAAACATGATAGTTTTGAAAAAAAATCTCAATACAAGAGGCACCCACGTGTACGGCTCGGTCAACAGGCCATATTTTTTTTCTTCTTTTGAGCGAAATCAACAGGCCATATCATGTTCCCGTTTTCGGCCACAGCACGGCCCATTTATGTCCTCGTTCTGGAAAAGGGTATTTTTGGTTAGCAGGTTAGAAATTGTGTTCTACTCCCTCCAATTCAAAATATGTGTCGTGATTTTGCTTTAAATTAAACTAAAAACTAAAACCATTACACTTATTTTAGATCGGAGGGAATAGTAATAAAGAAAGAATATAGTATTTCAGAAGATAGAGAAAATATGCCCATACGTACACAACCTATGAAATAAAAAAAATTGTCATACATATGAAATAAAATGTTCATCGCGTACTTGAAAAGTGTTTATTTATTCAAAAATATATTCATGTGTCAAAGAAGTGCATGTGTTTTTAAAAGAGGTCTGTAGAATAAAATAAGTCATCAGTACATGTGCGAGTATATGTTCATATATTGTGAAACAAAAAATTTAAATCATAAAAGGGGAAAACATATATCGATAAATAGGTGAAAAAATAATTTCACATGAAAATGAAAACAAAATAAAAGCAAACATGCAAACAAAAAGAACGGAAAAAAAGTTGAAGCCCAAAATGGGGCTCGATTGAAGAGCATGCCCCAAAAGTTTCGTCGGCATTTTGACGTGTTGAGCGTCAAATAAAAATCATCCTCATCCCGAGAATCCTACTTGCGGCTCATAGCATAAAATGTGGGAGCTATAATAACATCCCCACAACTGGCCAGGGCCAATAAGATCAGGACTATTTATGATTTATTTTTTTTAAAAGATCATTTATGATTTATTTTTTCTTTCTCTTTTTGTTTTTCTATTTACTTCAATGTTTATTTTTTTTGTGGGGAAGGGGGGTGCCAGGCGCATATATTCTAACATACTGCATGAAAAACTATTCTCAAATGAATGAATTTTATTAAATAAATGTGTGAGTGTTTTTCACATGCATGGTAAAAAAATATGAAATTGATATTTTAAAAATATATAAAAATTAATTTCAATGTAGGTGAATATTTTTTTCATATAAAAATTCTCTCCATTGTGAAACTATTTCTTTTCACAATATGTCTAAAACTTATTAATAAGAAAACTTTCTGGTCGAGGAGGAGATGGCCGATGTGCGGCACAGAGAGGGTGATGGGCGCGGAGGCGTTGGTGAAGGCAGTGAAGTTGAGGTAAAAGACGAGTGCAACATGTACAAGCATTGGGTGGGTGTCGTCGGTATAGGAGTGTGGGTCCACCAACAACATATCTTGCCTACGGTGGAGAGGAATGGGGAGGGTTTGGCATTTCCTAGTGAGTTGCGGTTGGGATTTGGTCGAGCCGACACAACAAAAGCTTTGGTGCTTTTGCTGCGAACTTGGAAGGCTTTTTGCCTTGCTTCTGATCACAAACGCCTTAGTCGATCACACCCAAGAGATGTGGCACAACTTGCATAGGAGACTTCTCAAAATTAGGAATGGTGTGGTTAATGACATCACGGTGTAGCATGCAGGTAGTAAGAAATTGTAAGTTGCTTAATGAAGAGTGCATCTTGAGCATTAGTATTCTTAAAACAAAGTATGACAAATCCTTCAAAAAAGAGTATGGCAAACAAGAGCATGGTCACTACTTGCTTAAGATGGATATTAGGGAGTAATAGCATTTTCTAGGTTTTGGAACAATTAAGCAACCGGCAATGGCTCCAAGTCACAAACTTATGTTTTAGGGAAAGACCAACATGGCTAGCTTTATTGACTTAAAACAATGCTTACATCATTCGTGAGAGTACTAAGCAAAAAAGTCTGGGGATCATTGTCGCAAGTACAAGTTATGGAAACTAAATCTAGCTAGCCCATGAGCCTCTTTGTTCAAATCTCTCCCACAATGCAGAAATATGACCTTTCCAATTGTTGTTAGATCAAAGCACCCCGCATAAATTGTCGTAGATGGATTCCACCATTGAGTTTGCCCCTGAGCAATTATTGATAACTTCGATTGAGTCTGATTCTGCTTCTTTTAACCGAACCCGAGGGAATAAGTTAAGTCGGGCCCATCTCCCATTGTCAGATTGTCGACTGTCATTGGATCCAAAACTACGGGATAGTTAGCTGCCAAGAATTGACCGCTCGAATTCCTCAAAACAACAGTTGTAGCACTTGCTACCTCATCAGCAAGATAAGAACGTGAACATTAAGTTTCACATACCTATGCATTGGTTTGTTCCATTTCGAGATCTCACCTGTTCCTGTCATAGGTCGTAGCACTTGGGTAGAATTGACCAAGTGGCAAACCTGGTGAGCCTCAAACGACGATAAAAGGAAAAGGCAACAAGTGTCGAGGGTTTTTGTTTGTGACCCTTTTCCTCATGCAATATGAATGGTATTTCTTTTTTTTTTAAACGGATGAATGGTATTTCTTGTGTGCATTGCCTCAATCATATGTGACATAATTTCACATTCAAAAAATTACACCTCAAAATTATATTATCTCAAGGGACCTGTATATAACTCAGCCAATGGGCTAATCAAATGCATGTCAGGTCCAAATCTCTCTTTTCTCGCATACTCCTCTTCACAACACCGATGTTTCTTGTTGAATAGAGTGCTTCATATTTTGTTTAAGAAAGAGTCAAACCCATTTATGTACCTTTCCTCACACTCACTCACGGTGATTGTAGCCACTTGCTTTTGTCTGTTTATCTCTCCTCCCTTCATGCATGAAGTTTTCACTGCGTGGGTAGGAGTCCCTCACACACACTCACACCGTAAGACGTCGTTTATTCTTCCTTCATAAGGGCGTGATGAGAGAAGTTGTCATGGGGAAGCGATGAATGTGCCCTAACAGATCAATTTTTTATCTACGGGTCTTCCCTTGAGAAACCTCAGCTAGAAATTTGATCCTGAGGGACATATCTACACTGACAAGTGATTAAGGTAACTTGGGACGAAGCCTTAAGTTTCTCTGAACTCAGTAGATATGGAAAGGGCGTAGCCACAATTTTTTCGCTTAGTCATAAAGTAGTACTCCCTCCGTCCGAAAATACTTGTCATTGAAATGGATGTATCTAGATGTATTTTAGTTTTAGATACATCCATTTTCATCCATTTTGATGACAAGTATTTCAGGACGGAGGGAGTACCTAATATAAATCCAAAAATCAGCTGAAGCATCGCAAATCCGTCGTAGTCTAGGTGGTTAGGATACTCGGCTCTCACCCGAGAGACCCGGGTTCAAGTCCCGGCGACGGAACTCATCTTTTTTTTTCGTTTGTTTCATTTAAAAAATGATTCATTCACATTCTAAACAGTTCTTCCCAGAAAGTATGACTTTGTGTGAAGTTCTCTGCCTGATTTTCCTTATAAACAGTTTCAGTTTTGTGTTAAATACATTTCTGACTACTTGCAAGCATGATGAAGAATTCTCTCTTTTATTTAGGGAATGATGAAGACTTCTATCTAATGTCCCAAGAGATTAAATATTATGTGTTCTTTAGTGCATCTTTGGGACAGTCCAGACACATAAGGGAACATTCAGCCGACTTGAAACAAGCTGACCAACTGTACATGTTTCTTTCACTAACCCAACAGAACCCTGAACCTTTGACTAACCCAACTGTACGATAGCATGCTGTGATTCTCAATGTTTTTTTGGCATTGTACAGGCAAAATAATTACAATGGACTGGTGTCTTGAGCCAAAGCTCCGCTGGTCCGAGAGATGTGTGGAAAAGATCAGACAACAAATGGTACCAAGGCGTCAGTTGCACATCCCTTTAGCAGAATGGTAAACCAGCTCAGATGCAAAGAACATAGGTTAAACAGGGCTTACTTGCCTAATAATAATATTAAACAGCTTATGAAGTCTTGGGTTTCATTAGGACACAAGAGCGAAAAGTTTCACAATGCATGCCATTAGACTGAAGTAACACACACTCATGGCCATCTAGGATAATCATACAAAAGGAAGCATGTTCAACGATATTAGAACTCATGGTTGCCGACCCACCCAAAAACCAGATTGACGCTCTTTAATTTGTAGCCATTAAGATGCTCCGTTCGTCGCCAAATTCATTCCCATTAATGTCCTCCATCTGTCTTGAGCCTTTTTCCTTTCTACGTCCTGCGACAACGAGCCATCGACGACGAGGTTTGTGATTGCGAGGCACGACAGCCAGTCAATTTCATATGGGCAGAGAAAGTAATCCTTGGTCACACTGTCAATCTCCCTCATCGACCCATCACTGAGGCTGAACAGAAAGAGGCCTTCTCCAATAACCCTGAGCACCACCACCCCACTCTTGCCTCCAAACATCTCCAACCTGACCTTTGCCCGGCTACCCAGCGTAGCCACCCGCTGAGGCAAGGAACTTCTCATGTCAATCTTTTCAGAAAGCACCCAGCTGCTGCTGCTGTCACTGCCAAGCGCACCGGTGTGTTTCCAGAGTGACATCTCAAGGCCTTGCATGAAGAGCAGCAGAATCCCCCCATCTGCTGAGTTCGCCAGCACTGGTATCTTGATGCGCTTTGCTTCGGGTGGGAGCTCCAGGTATGACAGCCCCATATTTTCAATATGCAATGTGGCAACATGGGTGAGCGACATTTGTTCCGAAGTACCACAGAGCCAATGGATGACACCACCAGAAGCAGCGGCTGAGCATGACACCAAGTAAAGGTCAGGCATTAGCTCAGGTTCTCCTTCGGCCCTTGTCCATGTTCCGGTCTTCGAGCTGTAGCACACACAGACGAAACTCTTTGCCTTTTTTAGCCAAAAAATGGCAGTCAGTTGAAAGGACTGGGACACGCGTCCATAACTGTCGACATCATTGGTGACAAACAAGACATAATGGTTAGGAGGTACATATCTGTGGTGAGGAATCTCAAAGGTTTCACCAGTGAGAGGATTGCAGACACATAGCACATCCTTCATGTCCTGACCATTGTCGACTTTTAATTGGCGGCAAAGAACCAGGAAATTGTCCTGGGATGCAAATGGCTTATAGAAGTTGAGGCTTGCTCCAAGACCTGGAATGAAGGTCTCGAGGGATAGTGGCTCGATAGCATTGCGAGCAGATTTGCTGCCAACAAATCGTGACAATTCAGAAATCGGCACGAAGCTTGGTGCCAAACAGCGGGTTTTGTCGATATGATGCTTCTTGTCCTGGAGGAAGAAGCCGAGAAGGAGGGATGGGGTGAAGGCGTGGTCGCGGTGCTGCCTCCTAAGGCGGTCAAGGAAGGTCGGGTCCTTGATGAGATCGCGCCAGAACTTGCAGGATGAAGCGAGGCGGGCAAGGGAGGCTGGATCAGAGATGTGTGCCGGTATCTTGTACATGATGTCCGTTGGAAGATGCGGTGCTGCATAGTCGTCCTCCATTTGTCTTCCCTGCAAAGAAAAGCAAGGCACCATGTGTGTTTATCTCATGACTTAAACAATTGCCCCAAGGAAAATTATGTCATAACTTTTGTAGGATGAACTTGACAAGAGTATCTGACAGAAATATTGAGGCAATACATTCAGAGCAAACCCCACGGAAAGACTGTAAGTCCAATTTTCACCATTATCCAGCACAATAGTAAGGCAGACTTGAAACATTCGGCGAACTATGGTTATTTTGGTAGATGTGACGGCGAGTGATTCATGAAGCTACAGGGTAAAAACACATCCCACATTGTTCAGCGGCATATATTAGGGATCATTTTTTACCAAAAATATCAAACTAACTGAGCTGGCATTACATTACATAGCACTCCCTCTGTTTTCCCTCTGTTTACAGAGGGAGTAACATTATTTTTGTTACTAGAAAAGAGTTCGTAACCAACTTGAAACCAACATAGTCCTGAAGCCAAATTTGAATGAAATATTAATCGAGCACACTGAACAAAAGAGTTCGTAAGCCTACGCGGCCAGTAATAGTGGCGCCGCACACACTGTTCATCGCCGCCAGGGTTAGGTCTCCACTCTCCAGGAAATATCCCCAACTGTTTGAGACTCCATTAGTCTACTACGATCAAAATAAACACACTACGAAACAACCCCCGCAACCACGGGATCTCAGATAAGAAGCTAGATATTGATTCCGCTGGGCCGGGAACAGATAGCTTATGGCGGGGGCGGAGGAGCAGACAGAGAACTAGGACGAACTAAGACTCAGAGCAGCCATCAACCATGCCGTACAATCGATCAGCCCCTCGAGATAATAGTCTAGCTTCGAAGTGGAGTAAGAGAGATACCTGGCCGCTGTCGCCGCCGCCGCCGCGTTTGCGCCGGTGTGCGTCAGTGTCCGGGGAGAGGACGAGAGAAAGGGGGCGGGCGATCAACAGGGGAGCCTCAACGTGACGCTGTTAAAACAAAAGGCCCGACGTGTTCGGGTCGGTTAACAGCAGCCCCGTGTTGTGTGGGCTGAGCGAAAAGCCCAGATGAGCTTTGGTTTCAACAAAAGGCCCAAGTCAAACAACCCATATATTGTGCCACATATTCCTTTTCTTTAGGGGAATTATCTTCCCATTTTCGAGACCTGCTGTTCGAGCAATGACTGAAGAACCTTTGGATGGACTGGCCATGACACGCACCATTTACTTCCTCTATTTTATAAAAATATTTAGAAAGAAGCATTATTTTGTAGGGTAGAAAGAAAATTTATTAAAGGAAATAGGTTTGCGGAAAATAAATTAAAGTTCATGTACATACACATATAGTCCATACATGTGAAATAAAATTGTCAAGAAATATTTATATATACAAAAAATATATTAATGTGTTACAACGTTCATGCATGTATGATTATTATTTTTTGCGGCGTGTATCATACATTTAAGAGAAAAAAAAGTTTAAAAGGGAAAAACATAACCATAAATCAAGAAAAGGCTGAAAAGGGAAATAGGTTAATTGAAGAACATGGAAGGAAAAGAAGAAACAAACAAATAAAATGGATGGAACCTAAAATGGGATGTCCATGATGGGAGCACCCCATGCGTCGACATTTTTGATGAGTCGAGCATTAGATAGGGATCATCCGAATTTCCCCAGAAGTCTTATTTGCCGCTCACAGTGACAAGTAAGGGGGGCTATGCCTTTGTCGACATTTTGACAAGTTGAGCATTAGATAGGAATCACCCAATTTTCCCCGGGTATCCTATTTGCCCCTCATGTGACAACGGGGAGCTATGCCTATGTCCCAACTCCCAAGGGCCTATTTGGAGAATTTCATAGGAAACACATAGGGACAAGGATCCCAGAGGAAAAATTCCTATAGATGTGTTCGGTTTGTAGGAAATGTGTATAGGAATTTCGTAGGAATACTATTCATTTCCTATGTTTCTGGAGGAAATTACACATCCACTCAAAGCTCATTTTGCGTGTAGGAATGAGGCGAGTCAATTCCTTAGGATGGCAAGTGACATCCTATAAAATTCCTATACTACTCCTAATTCCTATGTTATGAAATCCTCCAAACCGAATGAGAATTGTTTGGCCGAGCCAATAAGATCAGGACGATTTCTGATTCTTTCTATCATTTTTTGTGTGTTTTGCTTTTTATTTTTTGATTGTTTTGTTTTTATCCGGAAAAAGGCATAAACACTTTTTAAGACCATGGACATATATTCTAACACACATGAACAACTATTTTGAAATGCATGAACTTTTTAAAAAATATATAAATATTTTTTCCATACGTGGGTAAAAGTTTTAAAATATGAGATGCGTATTACTTTTACTACAAGAAAAATTATCTCTAGGTACAGAGACAGTTTTTGTTTTCATATACATTTTTTCTTTGTTGTTGAATTGTTTTTTTTACAATATTTAAGACTTATTAAGTAAGAAAATTAGGTGGCCAAGGAGGAGGTTGCCAATGTGCAACGCGGAGAGGGTGATGACCGTAGAGGCTTTGGCAGAGGCATCAAAGTCGAGGCATCAAAGTCGAGGTAGGAAGCGAGCGGCGTGGGCAGTCACCGAGTGGGCGCCAACAATATAGGAGTGTGGATCCACCGACACCATAGTTTGCATGCACTGGAGAGAAATGGGAAGGTTTTGGCCTTTCCAGTTGGGTCGGGGCTGGGTTTGGTTCTTTTGGTGCAAAACCCGAAGGTTCTTGCCTTGCTTCTGATCAAAGCACCCTCGGTCGCTACCACGATCCCACCTGAGAGTTGCGGTGCAACTTGCAAAGGAGTCTTGTTAAATGAATGATATAAATAGCGAATCAACCTGTGGTTGAGTTGGTTAGGTGGACAGTGGTATTCCCAACCCACCAGGGTTCAAATCCTGGTGCTCGCATTATTCCTGGATTTATTTCAGGATTTCCGGCGATGCGCTTTCAGTGGCTTCGTAAATCTCAAGATGATATGTCGGCTCAGTCTCTCGGAGGTGCTCATAGGGGTAGGGTGTGCGTGTGTGCGTTCATAGGGATGAGTGTATGCGCGTGTATATGAGCGCTTGTGTCTGTACTGATGCTCAAAAAAAATGAATGATATAAATAGTGGCATCACAGTGTAGCTTGTCGGTATAAGAATTTCTTCTTCTTTTTTCACGAGAAGGGTATAAGAAATTACAAGTTCATTCTTGACAACAAAACTTCTAATTTTCTTAACAAACCTCAAGTCTCAAAAGCTGAGAACCGATCGCCCATTTTTTTTCTTGTGGGCATTTTTTTCCTGTGCTCGGCTGTGTCTTCGTCCGTCAGAACTAAATTTAATTAATTATCGGCGTTTACGTTAAACAACCACAGATCCGTCATAGTCTAGGTGGTTAGGATGCTGGGCTCTCACCCGAGAGACCCGGGTTCAAGTCCCGGTGACGGAATTCCATTTTTTAATTCTTCTAATAATAATTTAACTTTTGCTGATGTCCCATGTATTGCGTTCTTATTACCTTTTGTGAACAAAGGCGTTTCACAGAGAAAAAACAATAGGCTGAAGAAGCTTGTAACGATACCGTGTTGAAATCATTAATATTTGTTCTGGCATGGTACAGGTAAATGAATTGCAATTGGCTATTCTAGATGGAAAATTGGATCTGACAACCATGCTACCATCCCTTGGGAAAAATGGCCAACCAGCTCAGATGCAAAGACAAACACATGGGTCAAACACAACATATATTCGATATAAGAAAATAAACACAGCTTAGGAAAGATAACCTTGGATTTCAACAGGACACGGCTTCTCTAAGAAAACCTATGGGGGACTGAAGTAACAACTGATAGTCACCGCTCATTATTATGATGATCATAGAAAAGAAAACACGTCCAACAATAGTAGAATTCATGGTTGTTGTGCCACAAACAAACCGGACCGACGCTGTTCCTAGCCATTAAGATGCTCCGTTCGTCCCCAAATTCATTCCCATTAATGTCCTCCATCTGTCTTGAGCCTTTTTACGTTCTACATCCAGCAACAACGAGCCATTGACGACGAGGTTTGTGATTGCAAGGCAGGTCAGCCAATCAATTTCATATGGGCAGAGGAAGTGTTTCCTGGTCACACTTGCACTGTCAATCTTCCTCATCGACCTATCGCCGAAGCTGAACAGAAAGAGGCCTTCTCCAACAACCCTGAGCACCACCGCCCCACTCTTGCCTCGGAACATCTCCAACCTGACCTTTGCCCTGATCCCCAAGGCTGCCACCTGCTTAGGCAAGGAACTTGTCAAGTCAATCCTTTCAGAAAGCAACCAGCTGCTGCTGCCACTGCCAAGCACACTGATGTGTTTCCAGAGTGACATCTGAAGGCCTTGCACGAAGAGCAATAGAATCCCCCCATTTGCTGAATTCGCCAGCACTGGTATCTTGATGTGATTTGCTTCGGGTGGGAGCTCCAGGTATGACAGCCCCATATTTTCAATATGCAGTGTGGCAACGTGGGTGAGCGACATTTGTTCCAAAGAACCACAGAGCCAATGGATGACACTGCCAGAAGCAGCGGCTGAGGATGACACCAAGTAATGGCCAGGCATTAGCTCAGGAAATTCATAAGACATCGTCCATCTTCCAGTCTTCGAGCTGCAGCACACACTGATGAAACGCTTTGCTTTTTTCATCCAAAAAATGCCAGTCAGCTGGAAGGAGTGGGATATGCGTCCATCAATGTCGACCTCTTTGGTGACAAACAAGACATAATGGTCAGGAGGTACATATAAGTGGCTAGGAATCTCAAAGGTTTCACCAGTGAGAGGATTGCAGACACATAACTCATCATTCATGTGACCATTGGCGTCTTTCGACAGGCGACGGAGGACCAGGAAGTTGTCCTGTGATGCAACGGGCTTATAGAAGTTGAGGCTTGCACCAAGACCTGGGATGAAGGTCTCAAGGGATAGTGGCTTGATAGCATTGCAAGCAGATTTGCTGCCAACAAATCGTGACAATTCAGATATCCGCACGAAGCTTGGTGCCAAACAGCGTGTTTTGTCAATGTGATACTTCATGAGGTCTGGGGAAGTCCTCTCATTGTCCTGGTAGAAGAAGCCGAGAAGGAGAGATTGGGTGGAGCCATGGTCGCGGTGCCGCCTGCTAAGGCGATCAAGGAAGGTCGGGTCCTTGATGAGATTGCGCCAGAACTTGCAGGACGAAGCGAGGCGGGCAAGGGAGGCTGGATCAGAGATGTGCCCAGGGATCTTGTACATAATGTCCATAGGAAGATACGCTGCCGCATAGTCATCCTCCATTGGTCTTTTCCCTGCAAAGAGAAGCAAGGTACCATGTGTGTTTATCCCATGAATTAAACAATTGCCCCAAGGAAATTTTATCATAGACTTTCTTAGAATGACTTGGTAGAAGGACTTCATAGAAATATCGAACAATGCATTCAGAGCAACCCCCACGGAGAGACTGCAAGTTCCAATTTAAACCATCATCCAGCATAATAGTAAGGCAGACTTGAAGATATTCGAAAAAGCTATGATTATTTTGGTCACAAAGCCTAAGAGATGCGAATGTGAGGGCAATTCATGAAGCTACACGGGAAAAACACATCCCACATAGTTCAGCAGCATTAGGGATAATTCTGACCAAAAATTATCAAAATGATTGAGCTAGCATTACATTACACAGTAAGATATTTTTTTACCAGAAAATAGTTTGTAACCAACACAAACATGGCCTGAGTCAAAATTGAAATATTTAAAGATTATCATTATTCTGTCGGAACGACGAACATATGCCATGGTATGCCTAGAACACATACCGATGATTCATGAGCCTGCACGGTCAGTAATACAGAACATACTGTTCATCGCCGCTAGGGTTAGGTCTCCAGGAAATATCCCCAAATGTGTTGAGACTCCATTAGCCTACTATAGTCAAAACAAAACACTACCCAACAACCCCCCAGACACGGGATCACTGATTCACTGGGGAGAAACTACCAATCGATGTTGCTGGGTCGAGGGCTAACAGCTTATGGCGGGGGGAGCAGACAAATTAAGAGAACTAAGACCAACCATCATGATATACTAGTATATAATCCATCAGCCCCTCATGATAATAGTCTAGCTTCGAAGTGGAGAGACCTACCTAGTAGGAGAGATACCTGGTCCCCGCCGCCGCCGCCGCCGCCGCGTTCTCGCCGGTGTGCCGTCTGTGTGCCAGTCGACAGCCTGCTGCGCGAAAGTTTTGTGTGGGCTGAGCGAAAAAGCCCAGACGAGCCCTGGTTTCAGCGAAAGGCCCAACCCAAACAACCCATCGCATTTTTTGTCGAGGAAACGACTTAAGGGCCTTGTATGGCCTGGCCATGGCATGCCCCATCCTCGATTTTATTTTAAAAAATGAAAGTCCCCTAAATTTTTAAAAAAAAATGAAAGAAGCATTATTTTGTGAGGGTAAAAAGAAACATTTCGATTAACAGGTTTTAGAAAATGTATTTACAAGAATAAAATAAAGAATAGGTCCATGTATGTAAGCATATAAGTCATACATGTGAAATAATTAAATAATATTTATGTATACAAAAACTATATTCATGTGTTAAAAAATCCCTGTATTTTTAAAAAATTATTAATACACGTACGAATATATGTTCATACATTTATGGATAAAAGTTTCAAAGTGTAAAACAAAAACCACAAAAGTAGAGAGAGAAAAGGGTGAAAAAACAAAAATTTGAAAATTGACAAAAAATACAATGAATACAAGAACAAGCAAATAAAAATGGCCAAAACCCAATATGTGCGCACCCCACGCGTTTTGTTGACATTCTGACGGGTTCAACGTCAGATATAAATCATCCATTTTTCCCTATGAATGCTATTTGCCGTTGACAACGACAAATAATGAAAGCTATGCCTTTCCCCCAACTCCCAAATGGGTGGCCCGGCGACAAGGACCATTTTCTGATTCGTTTTCACATTTGGTTTCCCTGTGTTTTTCTCTCTCTCTCTTTGGTTTTGTTCTTTTGTGTTGTTTTATTTTGTTTATACGGAAAATACGTAAACACTTATATTTATTTTTGGCGAAAATTCCTAAGGTCATATATTAAGTTTCACATGTCTTTTCATACACATCCTTACAGAAAAAAAAAGCATCAAAATTCTTAGGAGTGTCGAATTCTTCATCCTCATGCATCTATTGGTGGCACGTCGTTAGCAAATATCATTACTGCCTCTGTACCTCCTTCGGCGGGGTAAGCTTGTCTAAACTCAAGAGGTTGTAAAAGCAGTGTCCGGAGAGTCATCAATGTAGATTAGAAGACACTGACGGTCATGGTCTCTCTAGCAATCACCATCCCGGAGAAGAGAACAACAAAGAGAGCCTGCAAATCCTTCAAAGAAACATATATGCTAACACACATGAACAACTATTTTCAAATGCATGGACTTAATAAAAATAGGAATAATTTTCTGCACGTGGTTAAAATAGATAAATATAACTCCGCCTATGTTGTCTCAACATAGCCGGTCCCAAGCCCGGGTAAAGGAGGAGGGTTGTGATAGGCTTGGCGAGCCAACGTAAAAACTCAGCCACTCTTATGGAGATGAAACCCAAAAGATTTTCGTTGGGGCGTAACCCTCTCAGCGACGCGCCACATCGGAACCCGGGTGTGGTGGAAAATAGGCAAGGGCCGGGCCGTCACCCCCCAAGTGGCGCGCCGTATCTTGATCCGGATACGGTGGCAAGTGAGCGAGGATCGGGTCGTCGCATCCTTAGTGGCGCGCTACATCGGCGCCCGGATGTAGTGGAAAATGAGTAAGGGTCTTCGCATTTGACTCGACGAGTGCGAAGGGTAAGGAAGCTAGGCGAGCCTAGGAGGATTCGCTTAGGTAGCTGGAACGTAGGGTCTCTGACAGGGAAGCTTCGGGAGCTAGTTGATGCAGCAGTGAGGAGAGGTGTTGATATCCTTTGCGTCCAAGAAACCAAATGGAGAGGACAGAAGGCGAAGGAGGTGGAGGATACCGGCTTCAAGCTGTGGTACACGGGGACGGCTGCAAACAGAAATGGCGTAGGCATCTTGATCAACAAGAGCCTCAAGTATGGAGTGGTAGACGTCAGGAGACGTGGGGACCGGATTATCCTGGTCAAGCTGGTAGCTGAGGACTTGGTTCTCAATGTTATCAGCGCATATGCCCCGCAAGTAGGCCACAATGAGAACTCCAAGAGGGAGTTCTGGGAAGGCTTGGAAGACATGGTTAGGAGTGTACCGATTGGTGAGAAGCTCTTCATAGGAGGAGACCTCAATGGCCACGTGGGTACATCTAACACAGGTTTTGAAGGGGCGCATGGGGGCTTTGGCTATGGCATCAGGAATCAAGAAGGAGAAGATGTCTTAAGCTTTGCTCTAGCCTACAACATGATTGTAGCTAACACCCTCTTTAGAAAGAGAGAATCACATCTGGTGACTTTTATTAGTGGCCAACACTCTAGCCAGATTGATTTCATCCTCTCGAGAAGAGAAGATAGGCGTGCGTGCCTAGACTGTAAGGTGATACCTGGGGAGAGTGTTGTACCCCAGCATAAGCTGGTGGTTGCTGACTTCCGCTTTCGGATTCGTGTCCAGCGGGATAAGCGTGCCAAGGTCGCTAGAACAAAGTGGTGGAAGCTCAAGGGGGAGGTAGCTCAGGTGTTCAAGGAGAGGGTATTTAAGGAGGGCCCTTGGGAGGAAGGAGGGGATGCGGACAATGTGTGGATGAAGATGGCGACTTGCATTCGTAAGGTGGCCTCGGGGGAGTTTGGAGTGTCCAGGGGAAGGAGAAGCGAAGATAACGATACCTGGTGGTGGAATGATGATGTCCAGAAGGCGCTTAAAGAGAAGAAAGATTGCTTCAGACGCCTATACCTGGATAGGAGTGCAGACAACATAGAGAAGTACAAGATGGTGAAGAAGGCCGCAAAGCGAGCTGTTGGTGAAGCAAGGGGTCGGGCATATGAGGACCTCTACCAACGGTTAGGCACGAAGGAAGGTGAAAGGGACATCTATAAGATGGCTAAGATCCGGGAGAGGAAGACGAGGGATATTGGCCAAGTCAAATGCATCAAGGACGGAGCAGGCCAACTCTTGGTGAAGGACGAAGAGATTAAGCATAGATGGCGGGAGTACTTCGACAAGCTGTTCAATGGGGAGAATGAGAGTTCTACCATTGAACTGAATGACTCCTTTGATGAGACCAGCATGCGTTTTGTGCGGCGCATCCAGGAGTCTGAGGT